ACACCCCTCTCCCACTTTTTCCTAAGTGGTTCTTAACTTAAACCTGTGCATTGTTAAGTATCAAAAAGCCATCACTGGGGTTCTCACTTAATTTGACTTTTTGTAGTTTTTAGCATAACTGCAAAACATGGTGCTAATGATGTAGGAACAGACTTCAGGACACTTTAGCTCTTTTTCTGGCTTTTTTTGCTTGAAATTGGAGATGCTTTCCTGTTTCATAGGCTTTTCTGCAACTAAATGAAATGCTATTGAAATGTTTCCTAACATCAAGCAGCTCTTGTGAAGTTTAATCTGTTCATGTCAGTTAAGGAGTTGGATAATCACACAAGGAAGGCACTATGATACTATTGTTCATTTTATAAAAAATACAAATATGCTTACTCTATGCATTATCAGGCCTGATAATTCCTTACAGGAATTCTGTTCAACCTGTTGAATTCTGGATGAGTTGTCACTTAAATCCTTTGGTGTTTTTATGATCAAGATGAAAATGGTCAGTTTCGGTTATTAGGTACTTATAGTAGTATAAATTGGTTGGAGGTGTAGGTTGGTACTCAGGTGTCTTTCAAGAGGTTTTATACAGTGATACAATGTAATGGAGATAATACTTCTTAAGCAATAGAGAAAGAAAAGTTCATAGCGTACTAGCAGTCTTCACTTAAAAGGGATTGCCAGAGCAATAGCTGTAGCAGCTTAAAGCAGGTCAGCTCAGTTGTGGCAACTGTTGACAGAGGTGATGGTCAAGGCTGTTGTAGAGGTAAGGATTCTTCTCTTCTTCAGATGTCAGAATGAGAACAGTCTGCCTAGGTGCATGACCACATCAGATGGACTGAGCTGTTTGTGTGGGAGCCTCCTTGTTTCACTAGCCTGGCTGCCGTCTTTTGATGGGGAAGAAATACTCGAGTTTCTGCTCCAGAACTTGTCCAGGTGCATGTTACAGGGTGAGCTGGAGAACTTCACCTCCACCTCAGGAAGTGTTGCTGCACAGTCTTACCAGCCAAATACCCTTTCCAACAGTAGCCTTCAACTGTGAGCCTGAAAGCCACTGTTCTAAAAGTGATAGGACAGACTGGCTTCTTTGCTTCAGCTCCTGGCAGGATCTCATGCATTCCATAATACATTTCAACTGATTTGTCACCTACAAAGCCAAGCTGGTCCTACGCCTGAATTCTGTACAGTTTTATGTTTTCATTTAGCCATACTCAGTTTCAGTGGAAATGTGATCCGCTGCATTCCATTGCTGGAACAGCAACAGACTAAACCATATTTTTTGTTTTCTCTATCCCTGAATTAGCTAGTTGCATAGAGGACATAAAACTCTTCCAAGTGAAATATAATTTTAAGTGGAATCAAGTAGTTTTCTTCTCATGTATTACCTCTCTCTTGCTGTTCTAGCTCTTACTCCTCCTAGGAGGTACCCTGCTACTTACTATCTGATGAGGTTGATTGCTCCCCTTTTCTGTAAATCTGTGACGCAGTGTAAAACTGAATGCTTTATCTGAGTAAATGTTTGATGAAACTGTGGCTGTAGTATGGTTCTGCTCATCTGTGTAGGATGTTGATTCCACTCTGACCCATGAATCTTCACTTTCCAGGTGCTTCTATGCTTGCTTTCTGCATCCAAGGCCCAGGATGAAAGCTAGTTTTCTGCAAATGTACACACTGATGTTTTGACAGTTCCTAGTAAAATGTGTGTGTACACTGACTAGCAGGGTAGTGGGTTTCAATGGCTTTCTCCTTCTTCCTTATATGTAAAGAGAGTCCTATGTAATTTAAATACAAAATTTCAATTTAAATACAAAACAATAAAATAGCAGCTTTTTCTTGACTTTTCATAGGTCAAAATTGGGGAAAAAAACACCTCCCAGGTGTAGTTTAGCAGTGTTTCAGTTTAAGAGATGCCAGTATGAATTTTGCTTAGAGAGTAGTATGTTCGTTGTTAAAAAACAGTCTCGTATTTGATCTGAAGATACTACACTTGAGATTTTGAAGTTTCAATGCAGAGAAATGCAAAAAGAAGTACAAGTATGTATAGCACAATCACATGAAAGAAAGGCTTGTTATTCTAGGCTTCTACACTTGTCTTACTTTTGAGTTAGTCTTCTGTATCTTCTTTGTCAATCACCACAAAGTTCTGAAACCTCTCTACCAGTAGCTGCATTGTCACTTATTTAAAATTAACCATTTCTAAAGTTTTTCCATGAGTTTCACAGAGGAAAAAATGTTGCATTTCAGCATTCTGTAGCTTGATTTTTGCAGGATGTGTACCAGGAGAAATAGCATCAATACAAAAAATCATACATGATATGTATGTGTGTGGGTGCAAGTGCGTGCATAACGATCTACTCTACATTTAAGCAACCTGACTTCTTTCCTGATTCTGCTTGTAGATATAATACTGCTAGAAGTACTTTCAGATCTCTGATTGTAAAATTCTTGATGATGCAGTAATACTTATTGCTATTAACATTTCCAGAATAAAAACGAAGAGGTTTGCAGAAATTTTCAGTTTTTAAGATGCTAAGCTCTTACAAATTTTTATAATCCTCGATGCCATGATTGAATAGTTCATCACTATTACAAACATTTCTTTATTATTTTTAGAAGACAGTTAGTCTTTTTTCATTCATTAGGTTGATTTTATCTGGAAAAATGTTTTAAAAGTCAGATGACAAACCAAGCTATGTGCTTGAATCAGGAGTGTGCAGTTTTATTTAGTCACAGTATTCAGTTCTTACCTAAGTACTAGACAAGGAATTATATTAGAGCTGAGGGAGGGGAGGTTGAAAGTTATGTTTTTTAAAAGATGAGGGAGTGTGGTGGTGGTGGTATTTTGATTGTGATTGAGGTTCAGGTACATTTGTGTGGCCTCAGGACATAATCTGTCTTCTGACAGATGAGAAGATAGTATGCATTTGGCTTCTGAGAACTGACTTGACTAATTTAAATGTGCAGTGGTAGCCAGCAGAAAATTGGTCTTGGTATTGTTTTATCCCCCATCAGTCCATTCTGCTGATCCATTACACTGCCATTTCACCTTTGCTCTTGCTTTGTGTCAGCTAGAAGTATTCGTAGAATGATGGTGGTGGAACCAGTGGCTAATAGAGCCCATAAGGCATTCATATCCTTTCAGAAGAATATGTAGATTTTTTCTTATGTGATTTCAGGTTTTCTTCTTTTCACCAGGTGAAACTGGCCCACTTAAGTGTTCAGGCTGTTACCAGTGTTGTTTTTGATTCTTATAGTAAATAGGTAAAATTTTAAGAATATATTGCCATAATGTATTTTTAAACTTGTTCTGTAATGAATGGATGAGGCTGTAAAAAGCACAAGTTGATACCACTCAGTGTCTTGATTTCTAGGGAGACGATGTCAGAGCCTTTCTTTGCCTAAATGGATCCTACAGGAAAGCTGGAGAGGGACTTTTACGAGGGCATGCAGTGATTGGACAAGGAGAAATGGCTTTAAACTGAAAGAGCAGGTTTACATTAGATATTGGAAGAAATTCTTTACATGTGAAGGTGATGAGGCACTGGCACAGCATGCCCAGAGAACTTGTGGGTGCCCATCCCTGGCAGTATTCAAGGCCAGGTTAGATGGGGTCTGAGCAAACTGGTCTAATGGATGATGTCCCTGCTTATGGCAAGGGTGTGTTTTGATTAGATGATCTCTAAGGTCTCTTCTAAACCAAACCATTCTGATTCTGTAGTATGTAACATCACGTTTGATTTTCTGGGAATGTGTGTATAAAGAAAATCTGCATTAGAAGTTTGTTATATGTGTGCAGGAAATGGTAGTAATGGTTTCAAAATTATGCTTGTGGTAAGGACAGGAGTTTTTAGAGGCTTAAGATTTTGCATTGTGTGCTATCTCAGAAATAGTTAAGGGTTACTGCTATAAACTGCACTTTAAAAGTAAAACACGCTTTTCTGAGTAAGACACCTATAACATTTATCTAAGAGGCCTATAAGACTGCCTTTGTCCTGGACGTGAATATTTATGGTACGAGGCATGAAGGCTTTACAGAAATTGTTAAAATAAAGCCCAGGCAGAAAGTCTGAAAAACACAGCACTAAGCAATGCATTTTGTTTTCTGCAGAGCTGAGTAGCTGGGTGAACACAGGGCTTATGTAGCTGTGCAGATTCAACTCCTCCTCTTAAGCAAACACAGGGATAATACAGATAAGCTCTTGTAGACACAGATGAGCTTGTTGAATTGGAGCAAAGGAAAAATGTTGTGTGTTGTAACCTTTGTGAAGTTTCCAGCAAGCAAATCTTAACTTTAAGTTGACAAATTGTCATATTTCATCAATACACTACTTTTAGTACAAAGTATAAAAAGACATAGAAAAAAAATTTAACGGAAAGAATGATTGCTTGTTAATAAATACGAACCAAATTTTAATAAACAGTGATTTCATATGGTTGTGAGATAGAAGTTTAATGGGCTCTGATTGTTCCAATACTAGCTTAAAACAAAAAAGCCACAATGCAACCACACCCCCTCAAACAAATAAGCAAAAAACCAAACCAACAAATACAACAAAACTAAAAACCCAAACAACCTGACAACTCTGCAAAAAAAACCAAAAACCCAAATCACAGACATACCAGTTGCTCGTACTACCATATTACTGTAATGTTCTGAGAGTTAGGAAGATTCTTTTTCTTCCTCTCTGAATTTTGTGATGAAATATCTCAGGAAGTTAACGTTTTGGACAATTACATCTTTAAGAATAAAAAATTCTAAAATACGAAGTCATACATAGTATGTGTATTTTGGAGTGCCATTTTGCTCATTAGTTTAGTTGTTAAATAAAAATGCAAATTTTCATTCAGTTCTTCAGTTGCTACTGATGCTACCGTTTGACCCTGAACTGATCCTGGTAGTTACCTTCCAAGCACCACTTGACACTGTTGAGCCCTGCTGTCAGCATTGTGCAAAAAAAGTCGTGTTTGTGTCCACTGGGTAAAGCATATCCTTCTTATTTGTCTTGCAGGCACAGGAGAGAGTGGCAAAAGCACATTTATCAAGCAGATGAGAATCATTCATGGATCAGGTTACTCTGATGAAGACAAAAGGGGCTTTACAAAACTGGTGTACCAGAATATATTTACAGCAATGCAGGCCATGATCAAGGCCATGGATACCCTCAAAATCCCATACAAGTGTGAAAATAACAAGGTGAGATTTTTGGTTATTTCTGTAGCTGAAGTTTTTCCTCTTTTATATTTTTGGAAATACACTGAAGGTCTCAAAAAATGGCATATCACGGAGGTGATACTAAAAGCTCAGAAGAAAAGGGCGTTTCCTGTCCTGCATTTAGTTCTCTGCCTCTCTTTACTTTTACAATACAAATCTGCTTTTAAACAAGAGACCTCTCTTAAGATGCCTGGGAGGGATTGTCACAGAACAGAGGTTTAATGGCAAGCTGCCATTTGACTTCAGTAACTCTTGTGCTTTCCTATGAGGTTGTGGTCTGGTTAGAGCACAGTTAAACCATTCTTGTGATGTGTAGCAAAATTTTGCTGCTTAAGGTTTGCTATTACATTACATGTGGAAAAAATTCAAATTATTAGAAAAACAGGTGAAGGAAATCTGTGTGTCAATAGATTGTTAAATTAAAATTTCCTACACAAGACCTTAAAATGGTCAGTCTTCTGAGATTGATGCTGCTACTGCAGTTTAAAAGGACAAAGTACATTTAAAATATTTCTAAGGTTCATGTCTGACTACCTTAACTTTTGAACATCTTTTTTTAATATTCAGATTTTAATAGTAAGGTAACTACAATTGGTTGTTCTCATTCAGTCACTAGGAATGAAATGTTACTATTTACTTAAATGTTACTATTTACTTAAAATACATGGTAAGCCACAGAATTACATGTCTATATCTCCCAATATTACAGAGTCAGAGAATGGATCAAATTGGAAGGGACCACAGTGGGTTATCTGGTTCAACCTCCCTGCTCAAGCAGGCACTGTTTGATAACAGTTCCTTGTGAACTTGTTTGCATTTTTACAGTTGATCCATTATCAGCAACTTTGTTGAAAGGAGAATTTAAGATCCGTGATAAAGTGGATGGCTCATCTTTTTTCCATCATGTGGAAGAGTATGTAATGATTATCTGGTAGTCGTGGATGAAAGTAATACTTTCTTTGATAAATTACCCAAAAGTTCTTTTATTTTAATTTTTTTTCATTAAGAGAAAATATCAAAGGGCAGCAACATTTACAATAGGAAAAAAGCATCCATTAATTGGGAAAGAGAAAATGAGGCAAACTTAGGTTAATATTAGAATCTTTTGTGTCTAAACATATGAAGTCTAATTATTAGAATTGTATGTGTTTTAAGACAACTAACTTAGAAGTAGGAAAGGTAAAGCTTATTAGCAGATTAATGATGAGTTGTTTTTTCATTTGCATTTGCTGAAGTCATTGCAGATGATCATCACTTTCTTGGTGATGTAATGTTGCAATAACAATAGTCTTGCAGGAGTGTGACTTCATGCAGTAGGAAGTCAGGAGGATCCCATCTGACAGAATCAATAATGTTAACTTTCTTTCATGCACATGAAAAAGATTGAAAAATTTGTAATTGGTAGGACTCTTGACTTAAATTTCCTAGTCTAGCTTCATGCTGGAGCTGTCTGTTTTCCCTTCATCTTCTATAAATCACAACCAAATGTCTAATTAGTTTTAAAACTGTATTTTCATTTGCATTTCAGTCTTTTGGCTCCATGTTTTTGCTGTGTGCAAAGCATAAAACCCACAGACCTGAAATGCTAGTTGATCCTATAGCACATTTTTTCTTCAGAATTGGTGTTGACTGTTACTTTTCCTTAATATCTGGAAATCCTAATGATAGATTAGGATTTTTTTCCTTGTATTGTAATACAGAGTATGTGTTCTGTGGTAATTTTTTAGATGTGCTGGCTTTCTATAGTGTTTTTATATGGTTTTTATATGGAGTGAGTCAGATCGGTTTGCCGTAGCTGTTTACCTATGGCCAGAACTGTTCACTTCCTTTGCATAAAGATTAGTTTGCTGAAAGTAAGCATCTGTGCTCAGCTACTTCACAAGCATTCCCATCAGTTTCTAGTAGGGCTACCTGCAGAGTAAAATAAAAGTCACCAGGCTCTCAAGACAATTCCTTTAAAGATTTTGCCAGGAATACAGGAAAAACCAAACATGCTACAGCATTGTGCCTAAATAGACATGATTGTGGTCTACTGCGCTTTGGCTTTGTATACAAGGTCACTTCACTTCAAAGCACTGAACACCAGTCAACAGATAAATCTGCTCCTTCAGTTTTTTACAGGCTGTTGAAAACAAACTCATTAGTCTAGAAAACACAGGAAGGGCACTTCCTATTAATTTGAATCTCCTATCAGGAAGTCCTATCTCTGGAGAGAATACCTCGAAGTTTGAGTAACAGCATATTTTTAGCAGTGTTGCTGTTGTATGCTGTAGTTTAGAAAATTGCAGGTCAAGCTGGTATTGGTGTGATTGGGCCTAAAGAAAAATTACCCTTTTATCATCAAATTCTTCGTGTTCTGCAATAGACATTGGGACTACAGTATAAATGGTTTTCTCTTACTGTACCAATTTTCATACCTTTAACTGTGTGATTTATTAAAATTGGAGTATTTTGACTCTCTGAATGCTGCTGGAATTTGAAGTGCCCTTATACCTGCCTAACAGTTAGTGAAGAAGGCAGCTGTGTTCTTTGTGTGATGTACAACATCACAACATTTATGTTGGATTATTTTAGTATATTCAACATAGCAGGAGGCAAGTTCTAAATTTCCCAAGTCAGTTCTTGTGAGATTGTTTGTCTTCATAGTCATCTATGTAACTAAAGAGGCAGAGAGTGAAATGCATTGTCTTATATTATAATAACCTGGACTGTTTTGAAAGATTAACTATCAGAGTAGTGAAAGCCAATTGAGAAATGTAACTGTGTTCCGAAGTGAATATCTCAGAACTGATGGGAGAGCATTATATCATGAAAGACATTTATTTTTATGTGTTTAAATTTCAGAATATGAGGTCTTCTGAGGTTTAAGATAATGGGTGGGCGTGATCTCTCCTCTTAGGAATTTGTCTGTCATAGGAAATGGTTGCTTATAGACTCCTTTTAAGTTTCCTTTTGAGTAAATTTTACTGTGCTTCCATTACTTCTTTCTTGTCTAGAAGTTGTGAAGTTCTTGTATGGCTTTTGAATTTTAGGGTAATAAGTCTTTTTAAGGGGAGGTGTTAGTTTTTATTCAAACGTTTAGAAGCAATTCTGAAAATTGCCTGTCTTTTGCAAAATTTTGTTTGTAGAAATTGACTCATGCAACACAGGCGTTCAAATGCACGTTTTTTAAAAAGCAAAATACAGGCTTATGCTTTTTGCAGTTTGTCTTTTTAGACAAATGAATCTACTGCTGTGCTAAACACCAAATACCACTGCTGTCCTATACAATTCAATTTCAATGTAACTTTCAAAAGACCAGTTGCTGCTCTCTTCAAGCAGACAGTATCAGGAAGGCGTCACTCCATGGTGATTAACAGGCAGGAAACCTTACTTGAATCCCATTCCCATAATTTCCTGTGAGACTTCTTAAATATTCATAACAATAAAACTAATGTGAGTAACTGTAGCCTTGAAGAACAGGCTACAGGAAAGTTTTTCAAGAAGCTGGAAACATAAAAGCAAGTTTTGTGGTAGACATTTGCTGTTAAGTTTATAAGAGTGTTTTCTGATTAATTTTTGTCCGTATTTGTGCCTATTTCCTTTGGGAAATGTTTTGTAGTCAAAACGAGCAGATATCGGAAATGCTTTCAAAGTTCAAAATCTTACTGGCATTATCTTCAAGTCCATAATTGCTTTGTTAGCTTGGTTTTTTTCTATGTCAGACAGATCCACTGGAGAAAGCTAATAAAATTACAGGCAGAAGTGGGACGATAGGAGCAGGAATGAAGCAGATTGCATAAGTTTTTGTCTGGTTTAGATCTCCTGGTGAAATTTGAAGTTGAGCAAACATAGTTTGGAGGAAAGGGCCTACAAAAGACACCTCACCTGAAACAAGAGTGTGAAGGACTGAATCTAGAGCAGGAGTGTGCAAACTGGGAGGGTAAGTCTTTCAGTTTAGAGGGGGGTTTTGTTTAATCAAAAAAGCAAGAATGGTGTTCTTGGGACAGTGATATGAAATGCTTACTGCCTCAGAACAGGGATAATCAAATGGCTCTTCAAGCAGATGGAGAAACCTGTATGGTCTTGGTTAGTATTTAACAATGTGTAATGCTTGGTTAGTATTTAAGTTCTCTGAGGTGTTTCTCCAAGCACTCAAAACCAAAGTAAAATTACCCAGTAAATAGCAAGTCTTATAAAAGAGTTAAATGTTTCTAATACCAGGAAGCTTCATAAACATTTAGCAAGAAATGGATAGCTGCAGAGATAGCTGCATGCAAGAGTGTATAGAAGACTTAAAATATCATGGTCCTTTAACTACATGTATTCAGACAAAGGAACTGAAGATAGCTTGCTTTATTTTCACTGGAAGCTGTAGTATGAGGGAAGGCCCATCTCTCTGGTAGCTGTGTATCTTTCCATGGGCATATTGATCCATGAGCTTTAGGGATTCCAATAAAGCCACAAGCAGTTTTTTCCCGAGTGCTTTGTAAAGAGTCCTTTGTGAGGACTTTGACAATCTTAAGTAGATAGCAGCCTCTCCTCAGCTGTCTTTCTTTTTTTTTGTCAGTCATCTACTCTTCTCATTCCCCACCTTTCTTTTTGGCACCTCCTCAGTCTTACCTACATTTGACCTCTTTATGTACTTACTTTTTATCCTACTTTCTGCTGTTTTCCTTCTTTATATTTTAATAAAATTCTAACAAGCAGACAGAAAGCCCCCCATATATGTAGTAGTTTATATTCTGTTCTTCTAGTCATTCATTTGCTTGCTCTCTGTTTAGAGCAGATGTCTCTTGCATTTATCTGTATTGCTCTAATGGATTAATAAATTACTTGTTTCATCTTGTCATGTTCTGCTTAAGTGTCTCCTACTTCATCCCAACAGAAGCCCAAGTTCTAGCTATTTTTCCAAATGCGTGGGAAGGATGACAGTATATGAGAAGTAAGTTGGAGAAACAGTGTTGAATGCTCCTGTGAAGAGTTTTGAATACTTTATTTAA